GTTTTCAATAATAAGAGCCTCTGCCGTTTGCATCGTAGCGATTCTTTTTACCAAACCGTTCCGATATACGTCCATTAAAGTCGCTAAGAATAATAATGGTACCCTGCTCGCTATACCGTTGGTATAAATCAGACAGTGCTTGTAACGTTTCTCGGTACAGAGTCATAGATAGATTAGTCGACGGCATCAATATCCCGAAGACATACATAAGCGACTTGTTCACCAGTTGTACTGAGACCCCTATTATACGATCATTCCCTTCGTTCATCAGGGGCGATATATTCATGTATTTCTTCCATAGAATCACAATTCTACCAAACCCTCTCGGATGCGTCCTCAGTTCAAACTCTAGAGGAATGCGTGAATCACTCCGTCCAAACGAGTCAAAACTACGGTCATTAGTGTTGAGAAAATTAAGCTGTTCCGGCGGTAACCAATGTTCCGTAATAACAGCAATGTCCGTATCGCGAAGAATCTCGTCTAGTTAAAGTGGTGCCGTACATTACCCCTCGAGTGTTTCACGTAAGAAGCTTTAAAAATGAGTAAGAACGAGAGCATCAACACAGAGTTAATCACCACGAGTATGGACTGTTTGAACGACCACCGTAATTATCTTCCCGTTCAACCCCGCGATTTGTTTTACCGATTATCGCCACGATCCTCCCACTGGCGTACAAGGACGCCGTCAGGCCAGAAGTACGGATCGTTTGCCGTTGCGAAATTAGCTTCGCAAACATTTATGCGTGTCGTGTAAGTAGTATAGTCTGTGTCCCGGAACTTAATTATACTCATCATAGTGACATTCACTCCTATTTCCGCTGCGTTTGACCTTACAGAGCTCACAGCTTCATCTGTAGTAATACGCGACATTAAGAGCCTTTTGGTTCTAGGTCTGCGACGAACACCGCGGAATTCGTATGTATATTTTCCTGCCTCCTCACTAGGTTGTTGAAGTTGCGTATTCTGCCAATGAACAGTAGCAATTGATTTCGTGCGTTTACCTCGCTTCTCTTTAGGATCAACATGTTCATTACGGCCCTTGCTTTGTGCATTCTGCACCGATTCGTCGATCGCAGTGCCTTTATTTCGGTTAGACAATATCTCTATTATTGGCGCTATCACTCTACCATTCAGAACATTGCCATGCGTGGTAGAGTTGGATGGGGCCGACACTTCTGTACGCTTATTACCTGCATAAGTCCCTTTTGTATTATGTTCGATATTGTGATCAAATGTATTTTGCACAAATGACACTTTTCGTTCCAATGCATTTATTGTCTTATCTTCTATTTTGACTGTTTCGCGAAGCCCGCGTATTTCATCGCGTAATTCTCGTATCAGGTGCCGATTAGCGGTGTCGATTGAGATTAACTGTTCCATAATTTCTCCTCTCATTCCGACAATCAGTATTGCTAGATCAGCAAAGCTCCGTATTCCGTTGTCTGTTGTAATACAACTCTATCCCTTTGCGAATTTCTGTATATTGTCACTAACAATTTACAAGTCTGGCAAAGGTACGTCCTCGTCGGAGACGCTCGCATTAAGAGCAGACTCATTAGCTTCGCATATCGATCGGTGTCTGCCTCTCCTACCTCAACACTTCCGTCCACGTGGTGGAACAACGTATACATATATTCGAGGTACTTCTCTACAGCCGTAGAATTACCAGCGTTTGTTCTTTTCACGAGGGTCCCTAATGGAGTCTCAGATTTCCTCACTAAGCGATGTCATCAAGCGATTGTCTAACATAAGACAGACTTTCCGTCTTGTTTTATATATAGACCGCACCTTTTCATTAAACCTCGTTTTATCGCGTCCACCTGCTATATCTGTCAAGAAAGCGTACACATTTTTATCTATTTGAGTTGACGTCATACTTGAGTCGTCTTACTCTTCACCGAACTCTGCTGAGTTTTGGAAGTTTGCTGTATTTTTCACAATATTAAACACGCATTAAAATGTTATTGTCAATAGTGTATACGTTCATATCTGTGTCGATATATACACACCGATATAACGATCGGTTACCGATACACCGATAGCGAGAACACAGCTCACGTGTGTTAGTGTGTCCAGTGTTAACGCTTCACTGGTCACTATATGTATATGATACAAATTCAAAGGACAACTTTTCACTCAAAGTTCTCTACTTTTATACACACAAGTATTAATATAAGTACATCATATGTGGAATCCTATCAGTCACCATTTTTGGTCTTAAAATCAATGATATAGTCAAATGTCTTGGTCAGTCAACAGAAGGGTCGTAATTCGTGGATGACTTCTTTATCTGTAACAGATCTAAGAACTTGCACACGATAGAACTACAACTTCAACAGAGTTTAAAAAAATAGAAATTTGGGCAGACGAAAACGGCTTCAAATTCTCAAAATCCAAAACGGTGTGCATGCATTTCTGTCATAAACTAAAAGCACACAATGACTCAAATCTTACACTTGATTGCATTCAAATCCCTGTTGTTGAACAAACCAAATTTCTCGGCCTCATTTTTTATTCGAAACTCTCTTTCAGACCACATATAAAGTATCTGAATGATAAATGTTTCAAGGCGCCAAACATTATACGAGTTCTTTCTCATACGGATTGGGGAGCCATACGGATTGGGGGAGCGGACCATGAAATGCTTTTGGGCCTATACAGATCACTTATTCGAACAAAACCAGATTATGGTTCTATGGTATACGAGTCGGCGCGCAGTTCTTACCTGCATATGCTAGACCCAATCCATAATCAAGGGCTACGTCTAGCCCTTGGAACTTTTCGAACAAAACCTATAAAAAGCCTTTACGTGGAAGCGAACGAACCATCCATTTATTACAGAAGGAAAAAACTTGCATTGCAGTTTGCTGCTCAATTAAAATCAAACCCTAAAAATCCTGCAGGTATTCAACCAAAAATACCAAATCATATTTACGCAAAACCAAAATCTTCTGCCAACATTTGGTATCCGAATTTCAAATTTCCTGCTAGAACTCAACATAACGTTGACTGACATAGTTGAATTTAATATATCTGTTGTTCCTCTATGGACCAAACAAGCACCTGATTTTAACTTTACATTACATAAGGGAGGGAAATCCAGTGTAATGCCCGAAGAACACAAATCCTCCTTTCGGGAATGCAATTTGAAGTACCCTTCGCATACACAACTTTACACCCATGGTTCCAAAAAAGGTGAGAAAGTGGCAGCCTGCTGTTCTGCTAATTCTTGCACTTCAGTTCGACTACCAGACGGCGCCTCCATCTTTTCTGCAGAGTCATGCGCCATTGGTTTGGCCCTCGACCATATCAATGAACACCGAATTTAAAAGGCAATCATTTGTTCATACTTTATCTATCCTACAAAGATTACAGTTACGAGATCTTAAAAACACATTCGTACAAAACCTTACCTTTCGCATATCTTAAAGAAATCTAAAATTACTTTACTATGAATTCCGAGCCATGTCGGAATTAAAGGCAATTTGTTGACAGAAAAAAATTGCGTTAAATCTCCCACAAACAAATATCAAATTACCATATACAGATTTTGAACCCATTATTCGTAAAGCCATTCAAAATATATGGCAGCAACGCTAGTCTCTCGAGAACAGCAACAAACTTTTCAATGTACAACCGAAACTGAAAGCATTTGGTAGCAAAGTACAGTAGAAAAGGTTTGATCCTAAAACTAAAGGGCATGTCTCAGATAAACATGGAAAGCGGATTTATCCTGCACAACACATCTACATATATATATTTATTTACAAACTACATTTTGAATACATTTGTTTTAGAAGAATTATTTTTCTTTTCAAAAAGTGATTTCCCCAGATTTGGGACTTGTGAAAACCATGGTTACCACATTAAAAAACGCCAAAATTTGACCCACGCAAGTGGTAATTTCTTTCTTAAAACCTGTCTTAAATTGAATATCACCTTCTCGGTAACAGAAATATTCACGTTTTAACATAGGTCGTTAAACTGGATTTTGCACAATATTTACACATGTGCTGAATGACTTTTAAATGAGAAGCCAACATAGTCCACTTCATCATGTATATGCCAATTCTAGTGCTGATATGTTTTTTAAACTTTGAAACATGTAACATTACATGGGTTATTCATTGTACAAAAATATCACCCATGGCCACCGTACGCTACTGTACACTGCTACCTTTGTTCCAAGTCGGAGAGATCGTAGAGAGGAAGTTGTCCTCTATCGGCTCTGCACTGGGCACACTTATCATACTCATTCTTACCTTTTAAAACGAGAAGATCCATCTACATGCCACGCATATGACACTCCATTTACAGTGGAACATTTTTTAATAGAATGTTCCGATTTCAAACACATTCGTGACAATTACTTTCGAGTCCAGGATATGAAAACTCTTTTCAGTTCCGTGGACTCGAAGGCAACATTTAACTATTTGAAAGACATCGGTCTGTTCTATAGACTCTGATGTCTATTAACCCAACTTACCCTCTTTGACGTTATAAATATCTCATATGTATCATATCATCTATTCATTATCTCTTTCATTATTTTAACCCCTTTGTCATTTCATTATCTACACATACATTGCGAATGCTTTTAAAAATATTCATTTCTATATGATCTTATCTTCGCTACTCACATGTTTATCTAAAAAAACAAAAAACACAACACCATGGCCCTAAATGACTAGCTGTCGATGGGCCGTTAAACACAAACAATCAAGCAAGCAAACATGTCTTATTGACACATTATCGCACTTTGAAAGAAAAAAATGAAAATATAAGTATCAATTTATTTCAAATGAAAAGAATTTATGTATGAGGTAGCATTTCTTTCATTGTTGTTTTTTATGAAAAGAATTTGTGACAACGCGCCATTACAATTGTACAATTCGGCGTTTAACAATGTTTTTGAAATTATGTAAAAAAGAATGAACTTTTAAATTGCCTGTTGATTCTATCAAGCAATTGACAGGCAAAGTAAAAGTCGTAATACCAACCTTGCTTTCGGAAGACTTCAAGGTAGGCAGGGAAGCTGCATGCATAATCATGAAGCTTGATAACATGGTGATAGCTTGAAACGGCAATATCCTTAGGGTTTCTATGTATAAATATAACTTTGGTTTTCTTTTGCTGGATACAGGTCGGGAGTTGCCGAGGAAGCAGATGGGAGTTGAGAACCCGAGGAGAGCTGATGGTGTCTAGGTGATCAGGCGTTTGGAACTCCAACATATATCTCTCTTTTCCGTTGGGATCGTATTTGGTTGTCTCCGACAACAGCATCTTGCATATCTCCGATACCCAGTGTGTACCTTGTTTAGTAAAAGATACAATAGTTTGTATCCAGTTGTAGGATATTATGTATAACTCGCTTCGAACACCCAAAAAGGAACAAAGGTGGATAGTCTGACCAGAATCACCTTGCTGTTCTCCCGGAATAATACTATGATGCATTTAAAATAGTCAATGGTCGTTATATTGGCCATGACATGTTTCAACTATTCGACATACAATATCCAATTCAATCATGGTAAAACATGTCTGGATGGTCGGTAGACAAAGCAGAATAATACCAATACGAAGTCAATTAATATGTCACATCATATCAGGAATGTCAGGATTTTACTTATAAAAAACGGAAGCTGATATGCTTCTTATTTAAGTCTTTTTATGTGCGTTGATATTCAGTCCTAAAAAAACTATAACAAAGGCTCTGCAATTACAGTACATACCTGCTTTCATGAAGGCACAGATAAAAATATCGTCATCGCGACAACGAAATTTGTGCGCATTTGTTAATGCGGGTATCAGATTAGGTGTTTTTCTTTCTAGTAGGAAATCCATGCTGAAGTGTGTATCGTCAATTGATATCATGGACTTGGATGTTCCATCCGGGAAACGAAGCTCGTATACATCTTTCTCGTCATATGTCACTTCCGGAAACATTAATATTAAATATTATTCGTAAAACAAATGCTTATTAAAACCATTTAATTGATAAGGAATTTGTATGTAAAAAAAATCACAACAACATTGGAATTAAGGTTTTAACTATACTTGTTTTGCGGATATACGCAACAAACCCAAAATTCTCAATAGGATTGTCTCCATCCCTCTCATTTGGTAATTGATCAACTAGTTAATCAAGAATGGAGGTTCACATTTTAACAGGATGTATATTTCTATCAACTCAAAGATATTAATGTCTCTCGTTGGTTCGGATGGGTGCACACCTGGGTTGGGTCTTTATGTGGAGGAAACTAACAGCGAACCAGGAAATATCAGTCGTCTCAGTTAAAGGCAATTGCGCTATCCACTGCTCAACCTTACCAGCAACAAGACTGCAGCTGTCTATTGGTTTACTCGACAAGAAATGATCACTGTGTTGTTTGGATTCACCTCACCGCAAAAATAACGTGCAGAATAATTACCGAGTAAAACAGTACTTTTTGTAGCTATTTGTAATATCACTGTAAATGACAGGTGAGTATGTTATATATCCAGATTAGTAACATACCAATGACATGGTCTGTTTACATACCTACCTTCATCGCCACTGCTTGCAGTAGACTCCATTTTGTTTTTCAAATCCTGCACAGTCGTAGGTGAAGATATTCTGTGCTCTTACACCGTCAGTGTACGGTAGACTATTTCTGCAATGAAACAGTCATATAGCAAGAAATAATTATGCATCAAAGCTTCCTGAATATGTGCAAGTGCTACTGCTGATGTGATATTATCATTTTGTTGCAGTTATTACAGTAGAATTGTTGATAGGCTTTATGCAGAGGATGTTATTAATTAGTAGCTGCTGTGTCATGTAACATCTACTGCCTAAAATTAATGTAACAGGTACTAGATATGAAACAGCTGCTACCAAAAGATAATATAATAGTGAAAAAGTGCTGTTTAATAATACATGCTCCACTGCACTAGACATTATCAGGGTAGTTATTTCTACAGGAAACATTTTGGCTGTACACCGAATCATGTAAATAGCTACCGCTGAGTACGTTGCGCATAAGGTTCTAGCGACCGTATTTTGATTGCATACCCCATATTTTTAGTTTAGAACTCTGTTGTAAATATGATTAACATTATTGCCTCTAGCATTACCGTACAAAATTTGAAAGGAATTAAATGAAAAATATCTAAGTTCTTGCATTTGCTACACTTTGCCCTTATTTGGCAGTAAAAGGGGCATACCTCCACTAAAGATGCAAGTAAACTTCTGAAATGCGAACTTTTCCGAGTTATATTGGTATGCAAATGTGTATCAAGTTTTAATTCAATCAATCAAACGGAACTCAAGTTGAAAACCATGTTTTGGACGACGCCGACAAAGTAATACCTATATGTCGCCTCGCTTTGTAGGCGACACAATAACAGTCACTGCATAAAGCTTATCAACAATTCAAATGCCACATTATATTCAGGCAGTAGCAGTTATATTATCTTTAGACCGTATCAGTAACATTATCTTAAAGCAGTACTTGTAACATTAGTTTTAGGCAGGATATGTTATAATATGTTACGGAAGTAGATGCTACATTATCTTCAGGTTTGGTTTGGTTTGGTTTTAAATTGTTAAACGTCCTTTTAACAGGAAATAAAAGGTAACCAGAAGTAGAAAGAAAAACAAAGATCCCAAATATTGCAATGGGTGTAGCAGATTAATTTTGGTCGCTTTTGTGTCCCGAAGTAGAGGGCACTAATGCAAATCCCAACTTCTGTATTAGTCGCTCCTTACGATACATTCAGTGGGTACAAGCAGGCACATTCTTTCCTCGATCCCCGACCTGCAGGTATGTTTACCTGCTCCAGACAAAAATAAGTCATAATCTACCTGGCCGTTCAGGACTTCATGTAGAAGCATTAAAAGCTGACAGACAGACGACGGGCCATGATATACGTTCCCGGTGCGAGCTATAAAAAGTCTTGATTTGTTTGATTCTCTTACGTTAATGTAAAAAGTAATGCGGTCTATAAAACCAATATTTTAGTTACGTAATTTGTGCGTTAAACAATTTTCGCGTAAATCCTCGTTCTAATTTGGGTAGCAAGCAACATTTGTGGAGGCTGCAGGTAATGGTCCTATTCTACCAGTTTAACGAGAAAGAATTTGATGATGGTTAGATATGCACCTACATGCGTGTCCCCTCACACGACAGAGATACGTTTCCAAGCTCAGTCATTCCCATCTTTGCCTTACAGAGAAGACTTTTAGTATAGAGTTGCACATCGCATGGCTATGTAAGGTAAAAAGAACATGCATGTGCGTCTCTAATGCCCCTATATAAACCGAAAGATGTCGTTTCAATTCTGATATGGTAAGATATATCTAATTCGTAGATTTTGCTTATAATTAATATATATTTCTAACACACGAGATCAAGTTGCTACTTTTAACTAGGATCTCATCGATACAGTACATTTCTTATCAGTGCTACCATTAGTTAGCCTTATCAGAGATGTCATCTGTAGTTCTAGTTTCCATTGGAAGGTTTTTACCTTGGACATTAGTGTGGGATGCGGTTTGTAGGTCAAACAAGATACCTAAGATAAGTCATACGTTGGATTTCTTGAGCAGGGTCCTGCGGCTTACTTAATTGTCCTTCATTCCGACTACCAAGTACCTATGATATGCATAATCATGTCCGACACATATATTGAAGGCGGTGTACTATTAGGGTTGTACCCATTATGATCCCGGCTATCCGCTTACGTCAAATTAATGCTATCTTATCAATCACAATTTAGTAGTTCATAACAGCACTGCTATCGATTGATTTGAATGCATATGATCGAATTCCTGGTTGCGATTTGGCCAGATCTTAACGTGTGACATTTCTTTTAGGAAAATCATCACTCTGAAATAGTTGTTTTGGAAAGGATAGCTAGCTATTTAGAGTGTGGACACTGCAATTTTGCACATCAACACTACTCCACATTTGTGGTTACAGCTTATCCTATTGTTATCAGATTTCCGCGTCGCCATTAATTCTATTAAATTGATTCACAATACTGTTAACAACACACTGTACTACCACTGTACTCGTTGAATATATGCTGTGATGTGAAATGTCGTCAGAAGTTTTGTTTTTTTGTTTGTGGTTTAAGCGTCATTACTGCCCTACTTACAACACTGGGAATTATGGGTTATCGCCTCGGAATACCAGATGTCGAAGACTTTTTTCTTCGGCAGTTACAACGAACATGAAAGATAGCATGTATATCACGACAACTGGATCAATTGACATAAATATTTTAACAATTGTGTTCGAATCCTCGAGATATCAATTCCAAATACAGTATGTTCAACAATTTGCACTGTGAATGGCACAAATTCGTCTATATCATACCTAAGTTATTCTTAGATCTTCGTCATAAGAAACTTACCTTGAAGTGTCAACTTCGGTTTTCCTACCATTACACTAAATCACATGTTTCTCTGCTGATACACTAGTGTATAATCTACAAGCGGACTACTGAGGTATGTGGCCTGTTATGGTGCACGCTCGGTGAACCTTAACGGTTTATGTGTGTGTGAACGTGGGGTCATGACACAAATACTGAATACACTCTGTCTCTTGACTGGCGCGATATGCTAACAATAGACCATGTGCCTCGGTGGATTGCGACAAATAGGTAATCCTTGTGTTAATTTCCTAAGCCACATTTAGCGAGGACGGCAAGTGACAGACAATACTCCCTAATACCGTACAAATGTTCACGTAAGTACTCCCTAATACTGTACACATGTTCACTCAAGGACATCCATAATACCGTACACATGTTCACGTAAGTACTCCCTAATACCGTACACATGTTCACGTAAGAACTACCTAATGCCGTACAAATGTTCACGTAAGTACTCCCTAATACCGTACAAATGTTCACGCAAGTACTCCCTAATACCATACACATGTTCACTCCAGGACATCCCTAATACCGGACACATGTTCACTCAAGAACATCCATAATACCGTACACATGGTCACTCAAGGACATCCCTAATGCCGTACACATGTTCATTCAAGGACATCCCTAATGCCGTACACATGTTCACTCAAGAACATCCATAATACCGTACACATGGTCACTCAAGGACATCGCTCATACCGTACACATGTTCCCGTAAGTCCTCCCTAATACCGTATACATGTTCACGTAAGGACTCCCTAAAACCGTACACATGTTCCCGTAAGTCCTCCCTAATACCGTACAAAGGTTCACGTAAGTACTCTCTAATACCGTACACATGTTCATTCAAGGACATCCCTAATCCCGTACACATGTCCACTCAAGGACATCCATAATACCGTACACATGTTCTCTCAAGGACATCCCTCATACCGTACACATGTACACGTAAGTACTCCCTCATACCGTACACTTGTTCACGTAAGTACCCACTAATACCGTACACATGTCCACTCAAGGACATCCATAATTCCGTACACATGTTTACGTAAGTACTCCCTCATACCGTACACTTGTTCACGTAAGTACCCCCTAATACCGTACACATGTTCACTCAAGGACATCCCTAATACCGGCTACCCTACCCCAAAAAGCTTTTTATGATGCATCCACAATGGGACATATCATAATTAAGAAATTTTGATTTGATTTTGTATAAAAATGAAGCACGAGTTATACTATATTTTTGCTGCAAAACGCGTATTATACTTTAAATATGTTTTCCTTAAAATACGTGATACATGTAATATATAATATGCTATATTAAATAAGGAATGTACGTGTATAGTAAGGAATTGAGTATCGTTACGTGCAATACTGATAATTATATATGTATATATTGATAGAACACTAAATGATATCGACAGTGTGGACCAAATATAGATCCCTTTTCAAGACATACGAGAGGCAGACAAAGATTAACTATACATTACGAAAAAACCCATTGAAATATCAATAACCAACAGCGCGTTTATCGCAAATAATGTAAGTAGTGTCAAAGCGGGTGAGTCCCGGGAATTCCTTCGAAAAAGTGGACAAGTCGTCCAAAAAAGCAAAGCTCGTTAAAACCCGTATCTTGTACGATAGAATTAAACTGAGTATCAGTTAGTATAAAAGAATTGTAAAAAATGGAGAATAATATGAATATGGTTAAGAAAAAGCGGTCAGTGGTGAAGTGATAAGTGATACTGCCAATGTCTCAGAGTACACCAACATATGAAAAGTGCCTTGAAAAACGTTGAAATGATCTATATACGTTTGGTAAGTTATGTAACAAAAGCGTCAGGGTTTTAACAATGTCGATACATGTTACGAGCTACAAATATGGATACATGTGGATTCAGGAAAGTCTTGTTTAGAATTGACAATACTGTCATGGATTTCTGACTCTGGTTATTGGACAAAATACACAAGCATTTTACCGTCCTAGTTCAGAACATGCAAAGCTACGACGGTTATTTCCTCTTTGACTTTCTCATAGGTCAGTTAATTATACTAGACAAAATCAATCATGCAGACTCACATCGTATGTATTTCCCGGTCCTAAAGGGTCCTACATGTACGTCTGAGCTTGAGACTGTAGTTTTGTTACCCCAGTCCTTAAAACGTTATTGTTATTCCCTGCTAAATGTTTATTACTTAGGGTAATGGCAACAACTAGTTCACCCGTCGACAGAGTTATGTGTCCGGGCGGAATGTTGTCCTGGGTGTTTTCTGCATGTTATTTCAGTGAGGAAGCACTATAAAAAATGCATCAGATGCTTGCTATCGCAAGGAGGGAAATACACAAAATACCCTGCATCCTAAAAACATAAACACATGAACGTAAACACAGCACACATGTTTATAGGACGGTAAACCCTGAACTACCAACCATCCTACCCTGGGCACCCGTCCTCGTATGATCTTCGTTACGTAGTTACTGACGTTGACAGCAAATCATTCTTTTTAATTCCTCACAAAACGGAAACTGAATATCTCTGTACAAAACATGTAAATTGTATTTATTAGGAGTACGAGATTTCAGTAGCAGTAAGAGACGAAAAGGAGAAAAGGATTTTCAAAAAATCAAGGTGCTATTTTTTAGGTTCTAGTAAATAAATAACAACAATTCAAATACCAACATACGTGTATATACTGTTTACGTCTCTGGTATCACATGGAGTCATGGGATTTGTTTTTGAACACATCAAAAAAGTTTAACTGATAAAATAGCAAACACTACATGCCATCAGAGATATCGCACGAGGAGCCCCCACCTTCGTGGTGTGATTACATTACATAATGTATGACTTGTCTGTGTTATCTAGATGCAAGGTCCTTTGACCTCTAGATCCCTGACAAGTGCCGTCACATGACACCTACTCGGGCTAAAGTACGTTTGTGGATTCATAACAAAATTCTGACTTCCCTATTCTCCGCCATTTTGTTCATCCATCCGACATTATTGATATATTATGTAACACGATAACTGATGCTCCTTGTCCCATGAACCCCCCCCCCCCCCCCCCCCCGGCTATTTCTGTGTACTTATTTTGACATCAATTAGTAATAGTTTTCACTACAATATTTCAACAACAGCACCAATAGACTAACGTCTCTAAAATGGCTGCCATATCCCTGCAGTGTTTGAAAAGTTGATTCAAGAAACTGCAAACGCTTGTGAGAGTATCAACATATAAACTCCTTACTCCTTTTTGACGCTTTCCTTCGATTTCGTCTACATAATTTATTCTGTAACACGGTCATTGGTGCCTCATACTTCCATTCGCAGCAGCAAGTGTTTGAAGGGTTGATTGAAGAAATTCTAATGCTGGTGTCAACATATAATCTCCTTACTAACCTTTGAGGCTTTCCTTCGGTTTCGTCCAGACTTTCTAAAGGCAGGTAAGAGTAGTCCAGGTTACTTTATATACACACACTATTGGACCGTATACGGGTGTATGGCGCTACTATAAATAGCTGCATTGTCACATAGTGTGTATTTACATTGATTACACATCGTATACCAGATAATTAATATAGCTGATTTAGCAGATAGATTTGTACATGTGTACCATAGATTTAGTACATTTAAGTCCAATCTGGTAAGTTTAATTTGGTTTAGTTGAGTATTGTTTAACGTCTTATCAACAGCCATGCGTCATTTAAGGACGGCCTCTCCCATTGTGTGAGATGCATGCGTGTAGTGTATGCGTGTGGTTTGGGAGGCTGCGATATGTTCTTGGTTGATTCCTTGTGATAGCGTGGAACTGGTGCCGACTTTATAGTGGTCCCTCACTGAAACATACTGCCAAAGAGAACCAGCAGGACACCCCACCCGGTCACATAATACTGACATCGGACGAACCTGTCGTCTCACTCCTAAATTGCTGAGCGTTAAGCAGGAGTAGTAACTACCATTTTTACAGAACCTGGTATGTCTCGGCCAGGGGACAGAACCCAAAGCCTTCCTCAACGGGGCGAACGCTCAACTAAAGGCAAAAAGTGAGGCATTGTCAAGGGAGAAGAAAGTTGTTTAGAAAGAAGAGAAAAGATAAGATCCCAAATTTAGTCGCCTCTTACGATCATGCAATGGGGGCAGCAGGTACAATTCTTACGGCCTTCCTGCAGGGACCAATATATAACATTTTACTTATCAGATGTAATCTTGTCCCAGTTTCTGAAGATAATATAACCATAGTGAGGCTAAACAAGAGACATGTTTGTTTTCCGTTACATGTTTGAAAAAATTAGGGAAGGTAGATAATTTGTAAAGTAATTGTTTTTCTCAATATTTCACAAGGTTAATAAATAGGGAGTGATTTTGACTTCAACAGTGTTTCCTTGAAAATTGCCAAACATGTTTTGGCTAGGCAAACAAAATTTAGGTAGGTAAGGTAACCGGAAACAAACAATTTTTGTTTGGCCTGAGATTTTTTTGTTTGTATGGAGTTTAATTATCTCGCAACAGCCAATGCCATATATAAAGACAACCATTGAAAGGTATCTGTAGGGAAGTGAGAAAAGGAAAGGATATATCCCATATGTGCACTAGGGGCAGCAGTTACATTTCTGGTTTCTTCAATGTCCCCTTAGTAGAAGATATAAAGAGACCCCAATATTAGTCGCCTCTGACGACATGCCGCGGGATACAGCAGGTTAATTATTTCCTCGAACCTGCAGAGGAATACGATAGTGAATATTAGTGAAGTATAGTGAAACCTGACTTTAAGTACATGTCTCAGCTTAATAAATCGTCAAATTAACTGTTCGCCATTAATAGATTGACTTGGCTATACAGTACATTGTATATACAATATCTGTCTTTATAGATGAATGATGTATTTTGCTTTCGCTTTTATAAATGTAAGGCTTTGTATTCGTTGATATTACACCCAAGTTGTATGGTACCCGTCAACCAATCACCGAAAAATATGTACTTTAAAGTTTGATAAGTCACCATTGCAAAGAAACAATGTTTATTTTACTTTATGAAGGGAAGTAACTCTTACAATTAACTACAATTCTATTTATAGTATTCATTATAACATAACAATATAAACAAAATCATGACAATATACTTTAAGCAATTATAACAATATAACAGCAATAGATGAATGACGTAAAACAGAAAAACAAATAGTAATGTACGTCATTACACATATATGCTTATGATAAACAATCTATTTATACGGTGTATACAAGTAGTAATAAGATAGCTAACCTGGAAAAATGTTTGTTATTGAGTTAATTCCAGTGTGTGTATAGCGCCTTTTTCTGTAACTCGGTCCTCGTGGTAATTAACTCGCATGGTACGAAACTAAATTGTTAATTTATTCATTATTCTCTATGCAGTAGACATATATCTTTAATAGGGACTGAGCAGGGCCCATCTTCATGATACTGTTGTCTTGGTCAAACTCAGATTCTGTGCTCAAGCCAAAGTTCTTGGGTCTAGTTATCAATTAATATAAGTTCATATTTTGCCTTTAATGAAATTTGGAGATTTTTTTAAGTCAGACACATTGAACTTTTTGACTTTTTCTTACGGCACGATTTCTCACCCGGGTGAGAAATCGTGCAAAATTGCTGCGTTCGCACCACGATTTCTCATCCCTGCACGATTTCTCAACCGGGTGAGAAATATTGCAATACATAAGGGCATAGGCCACACGTTTTCTCAACCGGCACGATTTTTCACCCCAGCTCTATATCTCAATTGGAGCATTGTCTGATGTTTTTCACCCGGAATGTTTTATCTTTTCGAATAAGTTTTATTTTACAACAACAAAAAAGCTGTTTCTTTCTAAAAAAATTTAAAATAAGCTTTTCTCTGTTTAAAAAAACTCCGATCCATACATCAGGTAGATAGATAGTGAATCAATTACGCCTTGCTGATTACACACCCATTCAGTGATATACAAAAAAGCGCGATAAATTCACTTTACCCTGTTTTTCACGTCCTCTTGCACTTATAGACGTAATGTCAGATGTCGACGCACAATCGTGTAACATTCTTTTGACGTCATTTCGTTTTAGGTTTGACGTTTTTTTTATTGTGACACACGGCTGGCTTTGTAAATCATGTGTTTTCAGAGCTATCGAAATGAAAAAAGACATGTAAAGCCCATTTATTTGACATTCGTATGGTCACGATTTGTATATGACAAGTGAAACTGATTTTGACAAAGATCGAGTTGAACAAGAAGATCACGGTTAAGAAGTGAAAGAAAAATGTTATTAAATAACTCTAACCGTATTAGTACTATCTGCTTTCTTAATATCAACCATGATATGTAAGTTATAAAACACATATTGATTAAGTACGTAAAATAACATGCATATAACAAAAACAAACGTAAGTTAGTTTTATTTGATTGAAGCTCTAAAATGAAAGCGCGATCAGATTACGCTACACTGTATTATGACGTGATATCATTTGCCATTTAGTCATACATAGGCATTGGTGTTGTTACCCTCAGAGTTATCATAATGTTCACGCATTCCAATAAATCAATTTGAACTAGAAATATGTCAAAATGACATGAAAAACATCCCATTTCCTGTATGATTATTTTCAGTATAATAAATTATTGACCAAGCTACAACTGACAGATTTCAACTTGTCAATCAAAATGGTCACAATGGCTATTTTGCCCCATCCTCGATATTTTAGGGGTTTGCCTCACTTACACTCTCTGCGCCCCTGGAATATGTCATGACAAAATCGTAGATTCAGTGTGCGTCACCTTGAAGATGAGACGAGAATACTTGTTTGATACTTTAATGTGCATCAAAAGAATCGCTCAATTGCGTAACGGCCGTTTTTTATTATGCTCATTAGTATGTCTGTTTTATTATGCTCATTAGTACAGGTATGTCTGTATTATGCTCATTAGTATGTATGTATTATGCTCATAAGTATGTCTGTATTATGCTCATAAGTATGTCTGTATTATGCTCATTAGTATGTTTGTTTTTTATTATCCTCATTAGTATGTCTGTTTTATTATGCTCAATATTATGTCTGTTTTTATTATGCTCATTAGTATGTCTGTCTTATTATGCTTATTAGTATGTCTGTTTTTTATTATGCTCATTAGTATGTCTGTCTTATTATGCTCAATATTATGTCTGTTTTTTATTATGCTCATTAGTATGTCTGCTTTTTATTATGCTCATTAGTATGTCTGTTTTATTATGCTCAATATTATGTCTGTTTTTATTATGCTCATTAGTATGTCTGTCTTATTATGCTCATTAGTACGTCTGCTTTTTATTATGCTCATTAGTATGTCTGTTTTTTAGTATACTTATTAGTATGTTTGTTTTTTTATTATGCTCATAAGTATGTCTTTATTATGCTCATTGGTATGTCTGAATTTTAATATGCTCATTAGTATGTCTGTTTTATAATGCTCATTAGTATGTCTGGTTTTTTTTAGTATGCTCATTAGATTGTCTGTTTTTTTTGCCAAAACCCTATATCTCGCTATGAGGACGTGACATTATTTAGATTTTTCTAATTTTTCAAGAAAGACCTATCGTTGTTGAAGCTGAAAACGAGTACCCTTACGAAACACCTGGTCTTATTTCAAACGTCTCAGTGTGATTTGTTTATCTTTTGACCTTTTTTAGATCGAATTAGAGTTTAAGGACTCTTCAGTTTTATTTTAATTGCGTTGATTATGTGATTATAACCTTGCGGAACGATGCAAATTAAAGCTATAAAAATGCCTGGAATAAAGGCTCAGTATGCAACTTGGATACAGAAGAAATTAAACGGGAAACATAAAACCGTTTAAGAGAGGCTAATTGATGCTCAAAACCGTGTAAGAACCTAGGCTGACTATGTAATTTGTTTTGTTTAATGGTACTTGGTCAAATCCAGAGCTCCGTGTTTGCATCTGGATGATGTGCTTTAAATGACCTTAACAACTTTGTACTTTTACCATTAATAACTAGATACGCGATATATAATACACAATAGTCTTCAAATTCAGTACTTTCAAGGTAGAGTAAATATTTTGTATGTTATCTCCGTATCGCACTGGAAGTACATCTTACACATATATAATTACAAGTGTGTCATTTCGACAACATCTGCAGTGGGTACGTCAGTGTCTAAAACAGGTGAATTACATTTAATGAGTAATCGTATGGGTAAACAAGTAATTCCACCTAATACAAAGGTAGCTCCTGCAAAATAGAAGGCTGCTGAGTAACTTTCGGTCATGTCTTCTAGGAAACCTGAAAAAAGAGAAGAACACAACTTGAATATTCCGTAAACTGATAATTAAATGGACTAATATAACATTAACAAAATATCTTCCTGATCTAATATTTTTTTTTTTTTTTACAAAAGTCTCACTTTATCGCTTTAATCCAACCAAAATATAAGCGCTACATAATATTATACATATATAAACAACTATTATATAGCCTTTATACACTTAAGATATTTGTTTTGATGCACTTTAAATTACAGTCATGATGACTGTCCTGGAGTCACCGAAACTAGTTTAAGTCTGTAATGGGTATCAATATACACATTAATATGCACGTGAATGATCTCTGTGTTAAAAAAGGGTATGGTGGTATTCACAAAGCATTTGCGTTAAACTCAGATTAGGCTAATTATTGTATCTAAGACGTTGAAATTACGCATAAAAACATCGAGATATACATATATTTGACATATCCAAGTTAGCATAAATCGTTAAACACTTCAATTAGACACAATACTGACTGACAGATATACGAGGCATTCAGTATATCCGGTTCTGTATTAACATTCAATTGTAGTTTGACTTATTTAAGTACCAGCAAGGTAGCAGATATTTATGTTCTGGCTAGTTAACTTCTATGATTTTTTAAGGATTAGACAAGATAATTAATTTTATTACCTGCTATCGGAGGTCCAATTATGGTTGATATTCCCATAAAAAAGGTCAACAATCCAAACGCGCTTGGCAATCGTTCTAATTCGAGGAACTCCAGCACGATTATCGTAGGAAGAGACAGACACATACCTGTCAATATTGAAATTATAATATACATATGTCCATATCAGTATATTTCGTACCGTCAATATTGAAATTATGATAAATGTATATATATATATGCCCATATCAGTAGTTTTATGAAGGATGCTGCATGGTTAATAAAGAATATGATAATTTTTTTTTTTTTCATTTCAACGGATATTTTTCTGACACTTATCAGAACCATCTATGGATCTAACTATACAAAAAGATACGCATGCGTATGTTAACATATAATCATTTACCTTTGTGAGATGTGTAAGGTTATTGCTGTTTTAGTGGGGAGAAGATTCATAATGTCGTTACAAGTGTTCTTTACAACACGATATCCATCGCGGGTAAGCTCTTTCGGATATAAACTTGATCTATTTGATATAAATTCTTATCAAAAATCAAAAACGAGAATTAAAGGAAACATAACTCGAATGAATTACAAGTATGATATGCCTAATGCAATTTTATTCCTTTTAAACCAGCACTACTTTTAATATACATGAATTAGCTATATAATAATCATGTAATACTATATATGTCTACGACACAAATAAAATTTGAACCGATGATAATTATCTGAATTTCCTTTTTTCCCCAACTTAACATAATTCCATAGTAGCTATATTTTCTATAGCTTTACATTTCATGCTCAGGTGCTTAATTTTCACACAAGTAAACACAGAAAAAACAGGTCTATTCCTCTTTACAATTATAGGACTCACACAACTAAATCATTTACTATATGTTATTACCAAACATTTTAGCTAATAACCTTAATATTTGAAGTTAAAAACTAGTGACAACTGTCTAGATTCATAAATTCATACCTTGCAAAGGCTACAAAATGACTTTTTTGGTAGGTTTAGTGGCATATTGGAGTGTCACAGCGCCAAGAAGTTGACAACTGGAAGTTAACAAGCAAAACCGGTGACCCAAAACAGAAACGCCCCCAGACATTTTGCCCCTGTGCAAATCCGCACACAGACATGGAAATATATCAAGTATATATTTTTTTAAAAGTTAAATACCTGAACATTTCATTTATCTAAAAATCTGTCATCAGTTCCTTATTAAACTCCTTCATTGGCCCAGTAATTAGCCGGAACTTATTTTAAATAGGAACTACAAACGTATGATACACTTACTGATGGGCTGATTTAGTTGTGTGAGTCCTTATATCGATATGTACTGTACAGCGCTTTAATTTTTAAGGTTCGCGCATCCAAAGTTAATAATCCTAACTTTCTAGTAATCTGTAAATTTCGGGTTTAACGTTTCGTGTTTTTTTAATTTCTTGTTATCTAAAGATAAAACATTGCTGATATATCTGAAACTAAAACTAAAGTAAATGTCAAGGTCTTTCTTACCTTTCCAGATAATAATCAAATGATATTTCCCCCACATCTTTTGATATAAGATCCACGTGTAACAAACGAAATACTCATGTGGGAAGCGTGGTTCTCTTACCCTGGACAGGTATATTCACGCTTTTCATGGTGTGGGATATTTTTGCCTCACCCTATGGTTGAGACGGGGGATTCCCCTTGTAATAACAATTGTATGACGTAACGTCAACATTGCAATGACGTCATTTCAACAATGCATTAACTTCATGTCAACCCTGAATTTAGCATGTAACGTTAGCATTATATTTTGTATGATACACAACGAGAGAACAGGGTAAGAAGAAGAATCATTCACCCCCTCCAGGGTGAGAAAGTGGAATACCATCCCCCAGGGCAAGATGCTGAACACTCGACAAAACCTCGTGTTAGGCAACCTAAGAATCTTCTTCTCGGGTTGAGAGGGGGTGAGAGATTCTATTAATCCCACATAGGTATACTTAGTGGCTTTTACAGGAAGACGTTACATTATGACATCACAAACAATTGCCCGTTAAAACGACTTTTCACTGACTATGACGATGTTGCCGTCGGCAATTGACAACTATTTCATGATCATATTCTATCTCCTCGGGTATCAATATCCTAAAATACCTACATATGATAAATTACATAGAAACTAATATATGTACCTACCTAATGGAATTCCCATAATCACGGAGTATATAGCCAAAGAGCTAAAGTCATTGTAGTACGGGAGAAAGCATGTAGCCACACCCCCTACGATAAGACTATCCGCCCAGGGATAGTCGGCCACCAGTCCGACTATGACCATCGACAGGGTTGTAGCGATGCCCAAAACGGATATCAGGAGTGCGCCGTCAGTCTCATATAAACCTTTCTCCAGGACCGAAGCTGGTAGGAAATTATATGGAACTTGCGAACCTGTTGAAACGTATAAAAAATCTTACTTGTAAATGATGAAATGTTTTCAAGCAAGATGTTGTAATTTGACAATACTGAAGCAATATCTTGTAATTTACATTATTAGCTGGTCAAAGATATGTAAATTACAATATTTAGTGCGAGTATCAAGAAAAAAAAGATGCAAAAAATTATTTGTATAAGCGTTTTGAAGTTCAGCAACAAAAACTAAAAGTGATACTTACTTCTGTCAAGAAGATGAATCATATTTCAATTTTTGATTAAGAAAAAACGAGGGGATTGCAACTCAGTATACGTACCCATGGCAACGATACAACTAGACAGTAAGAACAAGTCAAAACCTGCATTAGTAAAAAGTGAAACGTCCAGCAGCTGTGCAAGTTTTTGAGTTTTTGCGATGCATTGGGATATCTGTGATTTGAACCTCACGTCTGTATCACTTGTTGTATTTTCGGTATTATTCTCATCATTAAGTGTTCCAACATATCCCGTTGAAGACGTTTCACGCCCGTGTGTAGTGAGAGGTCTGTATATTATGGCAAATAGAACACAGTTAAACATTATCCCTGCAACAATCCATATTGCTCCCCTCCAACCGTAGGTTTCCAACAGAAACTCGTACACTGGAGCGAACACGAAACTTCCAACACCAGATCCACAGGTGGCAATTCCTGTAGCAAGTGCTCGCCGTTTGTCGAAGTAGTAACTCACGATTACGAGTGAAGCCATGTACACAAGTCCAATTCCAAAACCTGACGTCAGTAATATTAATAATACATGTAAGTATAGCTGTATATTGTATTTGACGTAAATATACACAAATGAACGAACATGAAACATTTTTTTGGTTCATTTGAGAATGTATTTTTTTGCAAAACAAGCAGTGTTTCTCTTTCGTACTCATTCTTAAAAATAAAGGTTTTTCTTGTGTTTTGTGCTTTTGTCCTGTTTGTCCACATCTTTCTTATAGTCAGACTTTGGATATGTATCTAGCTAGCCTGGTAAAAATCATAAAATGGTTTCTACCTTTCAACTTAAGATTCCAATGTCAACCATAATAAGAAATGCTCACTGCACCTAAGATAGTTGGTGAGCTACATACATTTATCTATAATAGACACATTACGACAATGTCACAGATGGAGGAGGGAACGCTAGTCCCTCCACGGCATCTGCGTTTTTGTCTCCTACTTTGGTTTCGGGCCATCTTTGTATTTTCTCTTTTTTTTTGGGGGGGGGGGGGGGGGGGGGTGTTGTGTTCCTATTACTGTATTTTCGTATTGACTTTAAGTTAAGATTTTGCCACTGTATCATATTTCTCATTTTTTATTATTCTTAATATGAATTGTTTTCACTCAATACATAAAGGATGAATACAAGGTGCACTACAATTTTTATTTCAGTAGTAAACGTACCTCCTACGACACCATACAAAAGAATCATGACATCAAGGTTTGGCGAGAAGGTGGAGAGGAACAATCCCACACTGGATACTACTCCGTCTGCTATCGCCACACGTCGACAGTCAAACCTGTTTATCAACGCTGCCGATACGGGGCCTTTGATGTCAATAAACGAGGACCAAAGAATGCATAGCATTAAGGTAGATATTCAGCAATGACGGGAAATCGCATGTTATTATCAGGTATATTTTGTTATAAGTGAGGATTGAACAACATATTATTATCAGGTATATTTGTTATATGTGAGGATTGAATGACATGTTATTCAATGTCATGCCGGTATGCACGAAAAGCGGATACATACATAATCCATGGTAAATAGGTATGTAACCGATTTGCGTTCATACCGGTGTAACATGAAAAAGTGACTCGCGTAGAAAACCTACCCGTGGTCATTTTTCTACGATACAAATCTTACCCGTTTCTCTACGTAGAAATTCTACCCGGGGAGCTGTAGACAACATACACCCTAGCCATTAATTTTTACTCCGTCCTGTGAAACGGATCTTAAGAAAAGGAAACATCAACCTCTATGCACGAACCATACCAATGCACCCCTGCAGGTGGGGGATCTGGAAAAGAATACACCTGCTGTTACCCATTGCATGTATCGTAGGAGGCGACTTATGCCTGAACCCCCTGCAGAATTGGGGACTTGCTTTGGTGTCCTCTATTTGGGGACACAACAGCGAACAGAATAAAGGACTAGGGCCGTTAAGTGTAATTTCCAGCCTCGTCGGGGATTTTTGGAATTATTCGTTATATTCCTTATCTGGAATAAATGAATTACGCAAATATGAAATTTCAAATTCATTCGACACTGGATTAGGAGACATGTGACATTACAAAGAGAGACATACACCCGCATTTTTATAATAAAATGCGCGAATATCGTCTGTTGTGCTCTTTTTGATTGAAAATTCGCCACTTAGAAGGAAAATAACTGAACACTTTTCAATTTTTAAAAGTCTGCGCATGCACCAAACAAATAAATATTTGACATGCTTAAAAACTGTCATATCAGTGTTAATCGGTAGAAAGGAATTTTGTTTGTCATATGAGGAGGCTTTCATTTCTGCATGCTTACTGTCCAAAACACCATATTTTGGTTATTTCTGCATAGCAACGTAATTTTATTGCTTTGGTGGGACATCTACTCATGCGCGTTAGAAAAAATATACACAAAGAAAGATAGCCCTAATTAACCAATATGATGTTGATAAAAGGATATGGTAAATAAAGTTGAAATTTTCAAACATGACCAATAAGGCCCCAAGTCCTTTGCTGCACCCATTGTAATCTTTGAGATCTATATATTTCTTTCTACTTCTAACTACCTTTTATTTCCTAGCGCCTTGCTTGGCAACGCCTCACTTCTGGCCTTAATGTTGAGCGTTCGTACAGGTGATAAAGACAATAAGTTCTGACCCCAGACCGAGACATACCAAAGTCCTTAAAAATGGTATTTGTTTCTCCCTGCTTTAGGTTCAGTATTTATGGTAATAGAAACAACTGGTTCACCCGTTGTCAGTGTAATGTGACCGAACGGAATGCTGTGATGGGTGCCTTCGGCATGGTTTTTAAGTGAGATAGCACTATAAAGTCGGCATCAGATCCGCGCTATCACAAGGAGGCAAGCACACTAACATACCCTGTCTCCTGCATACACACACGCAAGCACTCATACACTAAACGTCCTTAACTGATCTTAACTGTTAATAGGAAGTTAAACAAAGGCCAAGGTCGAAATTACTTCAATATAGAAATATACCGGAAAAAAACTGTCATCGCTTCTCAAGATGCATGAATAGGGCTGGGGTAGGTCAAAAGTAAAGGTCACCGATATCGATGCTATAAATGGAAACTATTACATAAACGAAAATTGTTGGTATCAATTATGCAGCGGTATGTTTCATTGTTTCTCTTACCTTAACAGAGATTAATATGTTTGTCTTGTATAAATGTATAAAACTCGAACGTGTTAAAGCATAGCGAGAGTTCAAATACATTGAATACTTTTCGCCATGCACATGTATGATTTAACGAATGAATATTCATGATGAATATATTACCTATGAAACGACCGACATGCTAAAATCTCGAATTAGAAACAACACGAACGATCTTTAATTTCAACAAAATTGGTTATTTATTACGTTCTGACAAGAAGAGTTTCTCACAGACCTTGATTGGTACAGAGCAAGACTCGGTGGCGAGAAAAGAACAATTAACATGTTTAATCCGAAGCAAAAATGAAGGAAAACAGCACTGCGTGTGTAATGGCAAGAATCAGGCAATTTGAATGTCATTTATGTTTCCCGGTTCATGAAAACACTATCACATTAAATACTGACGTGGTTTTGGTTTAGTTTGCTTTTATTTTGTTTAACGTCCTATTAACAGCTAAGGTAATTTACGGACGGCCTTCCCTGTGTACAAGATGCATGTGTGTAGTGTATGCGTGTGTATTTTGGGAGGCTGCGATATGTTCGTGTTAAAACATCCTTCAATAAAACAACATTTCAAACTGTAACCATCATATAACAATAACGTTATCACATTAACGTATAAGTTATTGTATAACACAGTACAAAGTAAATAGAATTTTACCACGTCAGCTTTTAGCATGATTGACATCTATTTTTTTGTCAGCATGGACATTTTAACAAGCTAGACTTACGTAAAATTCAATTTTTACTCGGTCATTTTAAAGCGATCTAGTGTACATTTAACGGAAATAAATTAAACATGAGTTCTTTAAATGCATTGAAGGGATGGTGGTAAATAAGTGGAATTGATATCTTGTGTAATACGGCTATGTACAGTTGTGTGACCACACAACGCACCAAAAACAGCGTGCGCACACCGTGCATAATACGGAAGGATCGTATGCAATAATGTGCACTGTGTATATATCTGTAATCACAATAATCAAGATTATGTAAAATTAATTGAAACTTACTGATAATATAAAATATGTGATAAAAAAAATCTTAACACTTGTGTCAACATAATACGAAATGTATTAAACTCGTTCAATAATTTGATATGCTACTAGGCTAAATGCTCGTGTTATATACAATTACTGCACCCCTTTGATACATTCAGTAGAACATTGAAAGTCTAACTAGATCACCTTTTTATTTAAATAGCTCAATAGTTATGTATGCCTCTTGCCGGTAACGGGAACGGTAGAAAATATACGAAAGTCGTTTAAAAGACGTTTTTCCATGGTATAAATTGTACTCGTGTCATTGTTCCGTCGTATAAAACGTACCCGGGTCATTTTTCCATTGTAGAAATTGTACCTTGGTCGTTTTTCGATTGTGATAAATGTACCCGGATTTATTTTTCACGGTAGAAAATATACCCTGGTCACATTTGCATGCTAGAATGTGGACCTAAAATGTAGGTCGTTTTTCCGTTGTAGAAAGTTTACCCGGGTCATCTTTTCATGGTAGAAAATGTACCCGGGTTATTGGTTCACGTGAAACTTGTACCCGGTTCGTTTTGCCATTGGTATTAATGTACCCGGGTTATTTGTTTTTGGTCGCAAATGTACCCGGGTCACATTTATATGATATAAATTGTACCCAGGTCGTGTTTCCGATTGTAGAAACTGTAGCCGGATAATTTTTGAATTTCATGGCAACCACGAATTTAACCATTTTTCCAACCCCCAAATCATCATCACCTCACACACCAAATCACTGTTATTAATTAAAAAAAACCTGCACAAAGCAAGTGTTACACAATCCCGAACCCGCGCTGTACGCATTTGCGGGGTCCCACGCTGTGACATAATAGCGAAGTGCCGTATTGTCATACAATGTATCTATATGCAAGAAGTTATTATTATTATTTTATTCCATTATAGATCCGACGTTGAACAGATAGTTTAAAATCTGAACACACTCGCTTAATTGAAAAAAAATAGGCTGAGGCAAAAATAATCTATCATCTGAAAATCTATACTTTAAACACTACTAAAAATTCCCTTCCCTAATATGACCCTTTCTTATATCATGGTTTAAGAAAATCCCTTGCTAATTGTTATGTGACAGAGTGTGTCAGGAGAACATGTAATGTACATTGAAATGTTATATTATGTATGTTATTATCTTATAGATTGTGTGCAGAATATACATGGAGTTTAGGTATAAAGTATTTTGTGTTAGGGGCAATTATTGTTGAATCTAAATGAACTGTGTTACGATCTACCTGTATATCATCCGATAATTTGTATATGGCTACTTCCGTATACTGGAGAAAACCGCCTGTTGATAGGTTAAATCAGCCAGGATGAGTCCTACAAGGGTTCTGATTGGTCAAGTCGTAATGCATTATATAGAAATGTATTAATGCGTTTGCTATACATGTGAGCGTCAGAGAGTTGATCTCTAAGCACCAGTCGTGCTGTCTCTCTCTCACCTCTCCTTGACCACTACAGATACGGATTTAGGGCTATGTAGCCAGCATTATAAATTTATATAGGGATAGTAGCCTAGGTTAAAAAAAATACGAGTGGACGGGGATATTATAAATGTAATTGCACGGATTGTGAATGAGTGTGGGGCCCGAGCGAGAGCGAGTGTGTCGTACCATCGTGTTTGTTCAATGTTTATGTCATATTGAATAAATACATATTATATCTGCAAATAAATCTGCGTCGTTTTCAACTCTCCTTAAATCTTAGAACCCGGACAACAGCAAAAGCTGACCAGGTGTCGCTCTCCTGTTACACTTATAAGGTTCGTTATAGAGGCCATATAATAAAATACCAAAATGTCACAGTTTTGATTTTAAATACCAGATGTTTTCATAATATTTAAACGCAGAGCATTGTTGACTACATTTCTGTACATTATTGTAAGAGGACGGGGTCCAAACTTTCTGGGTCATCTACTTTTTGTCTTAAAAGGTGATAATCGCATCGCTATACTCGCTGATGCTTTGTATTCATATTGGAATTTATTTTAACTGATTCAACTGTTTCTTCATTGAGAAAAAAAATAATACATTAATGTAATACATATAAGTGATTCAATAATAAAGCATACAATGTAACTATAACTGTAAGTCAAAGGCTAACTAATACCCTCGCTGCTATATAAACCAGAACTTTAAGTTAAAGGCTTACTAAGGCAAAGCATTACAAAACAATCCATAGT